ATAAAAAGACGAACATAACAATACACAATTTAAAAAACACACAACAACCATACCATTCGATGGGGAGGGGGTGGGGGCAAAAGCTCTTTAGCCCCAGGCCTGTCGGAACAGCCAGGTTTTAAGGGCTTTGCGGAAGGCCTGTAGGGTGGTGAGGGTTTGAATCTCCACGGGGAGCTCGTTCCAGAGGGTTGGAGCAGCCACAGAGAAGGCTCTCCTCCGGGTAGTCGCCAGTCGACACTGGCCGGCGGATGGAATTCGGAGGAGGCCTAATCTGTGGGATCTGATCGGTCTATTGGAGGTAATAAACGGAGTGGGACACAGAATGTCCCAAAAAATATAGGTAGTTCTTGACTTACGACCACAATTGACCCCAACATTTCTGTCATTAAGGGGGACGTTTGTGGAGTTTTGCCCCATTTTACAACCTTTACAACCTTTCTTACCACGGTTGTTAAGCGAGTCACTGCAATGGATAAATTAGCAACACCGTTGTTAAGTGAATCTGGCTTCCCCGTGGACTTTGCTTGTCAGAAAATCGCAAAAGCAATATCACGTGACCCTGGGGCCCAGCGACGGTCATTAGTCTGGACCAAGCACCTGAATTTTGATCATGGGATCCTGGGGCTGCCCCCAAAAGTCGTTAAATGTGAAAAATGGGTCACAAGTCACTTTTTTCAGTGCCGCTGTAACTTTGAAAACTATCAGTAAATGAACTGGGGCTACTTGTATGAAAGCAGAGGGGAAAAATAAGAAGACTCAAGGATCTTTTTTGGGGGGGGAAAAAGTGGTTTGGCAAGAACTGTCATTTCACAAAGCATTTTTTTTTTTAAAAAAAACATCCCTGGGATGTTGAGAAATTGTTACTCCCCTAATATTTTCAATCAGGTATTTCTTAAGCCCGTCTTTTCCAGATGTGTGGAGTTGCAATTCAGAATTCCAGAGTCAGGTATGCTGTCTGTTCGAGCACTGGACCTATATACCCACGCTGACCGCTCTATAGTGCTGGGATGACAAACTGACCAATGCATTGTGTATGCATTCCAATTTTCTGCATTTATGTAAGTATTCCTCGACTTACAATGGCAATTTCCATTGCTGAGTGATGTGATTGCAAAGCATGACTGCATTGCTTAGCGTTAGCAGTCCCTGCAGTCCCATTGCTATTGTTAACTGAACCGCACAGCTGCTAGGCAAGACAGCTTCCTGCTGGCTTCCCACAGGCAAATCACTGGGGAAACAGGCAGGAAATTGAAAGTCCCAGGTGGCTTGCGAACAGGATGGCAGGGAAGTGAGTGGCTGATGCTGGGTGAGGGAAGTGTGGTGAGGCCGGGGTGCAGGGAGGTACAAGGGAAGTATGGTGGAAGGAGGCACGGTGAGGGTCACAGAGGTGTAGTGAGGATCGGGGAGGGTGAATAGGGTGTATGAATGAGTCACAGGGATACAAGAGGATACACAAGGGCTAGGCTGAATGGCAGGTTATAGCAATAGCTATTGCTATTGAATGGCAGGTTCAAAACTACCCATTAAATTTTACGAGCAAATGGGGATTTGGATTCTCAGACCTCCATGTAATTCCCACGTTAGGCTGGTTATCCCCAGGGGTTAGGTAAAAATTGCCATTTTATTTTTGAATTTATGCTGGTGTAGGACTATAAGGAAGACTGGTGTGAGTCTCCTGGAATATACCGTGTTTTCCCCAAAATAAGACAGGGTCTTATTTTCTTTTGAACCACCCCAAAATGAGTGTTTGGTCTTATTTTCGGGGAGGTCTTATTATTTTTGAGGTGCAGGAGGTCTCTTAACCTCGGCCCACAGATCAGCTGATCCAGAGAGGGCCAGAAGTTCTGTCTCTGTTTCTGACACACTCTTGCCAGCCCTGGCATCACTCAGCCTGCCCCTCTTTTTTTGCAACTGCCATTAACAGAAGGGGTGCAGTAGCTTGGGTTTGCGGGAGGCCGTTCCGCATGGATGACAGGTGCATGTGGGGCATTCCCCCCCCCAGGAAATGGCGGGGACTGGCTGTGCATGCATTTAAATATTTTAGAGGGGAGGGCTTATTTTAACACATCCGCTCAAAAGCCTGATTGGGCTAATTATCTGGGGAGGTCTTATTTTCGGGGAAATAGGGTAGTGTTTATCAAGAACTAATCGAGAGCCTTCCCAACATTTCTGGAGCCCTTTCCCCAAACTGAACGGAAGCAGAAGCCTCTACCTGCGTATCTATGCCAGACATGTTCCAGCACAGACTTCTGGATCTGCTCTGGGGATCCAGGGTGGGAATGCAATGCCGCCAAGGAAGGAGAATGCTCCATCGGAGACCTGCAGAGACATCGGAAAGGAAAGATTTTACAGGCCAGCCAGCCAGCAAGTAAACTCCAGAGTTCCTGTAGCTTGAAGCCAATACACTTACTGCTCGCTTTCGCTGACGATGCTCGTCTCCTCTTTGAATGCATCCAGGTTTAGGACGCCCTTTGTCGTGGGCGTCTTCATCCGTACCCTCCCAATGCTGCAGGGCAAAGGGGCCAGTTCAATACATAACACACGCATGCACACACGCTTGCATAAATACAGGAAGTCCTCGACTTACTAACGGTTTGTTTAGAGACCGTTCGAAGCTGCAACGGCACTGGAAAAAAGGGACTTGCGACCATCGGAGCAGCCCCATGGTCATGTGATCAAAAGGTAGATGCTTGGCAAATGGTTCATATTACAACGGTCGCAGCGTCCTGGGGTCGTGGGATCTCCTTTTGCGACAAGCAAAGTCAAGGTGAAGCCCGATTTCACTTCATAACCGCGTTGCCAGCTGAACAACTGCGGTGATTCACTTCTAAGAAGAGTGGCCAGAAAAGTCGTTCAATGTGGCCAAAACTCACTTGACAAATTTCTCGCTTAGCAATGTGAATTCTGGGCTCAATTGTGGTTGTAAGTCGAGGACTACCTGTAGGCACTTGTGCGAGAGGAAACCAATGCGATGTAGAGATTTCTGCAAAGCTGCTGATACCGAAGCTGACTGAGGGTGCAGCTATCTTCAGCCAATCATGCAGCTGCGAGCAACTAAGACTCCCGAACACCCAGTTGCTGACTCAGAGAGATCAAGGTGACTGGGAATTGGGGTTTTCTGCATTCCTCCCCACCCCGATGTTTCAAAACAGCTTTATATTGTGACATTCTCTTTACTAACATAAAACATGGATAGGTTCTCTTCCCCAAAATTCCCCAAGACCATTTATGATAAGCTGTAAAGCCACGTAATAAAATCCTCAAGTTGGAGCTTCACACCAATATATTTTTTTTAAAAAAAATACCGAGTTGGGGTTTTGTGGGACATTTAGTGCAAAGCCAAAGAGATGAGCAGGTGGTCCAAAGAAAGACAGTGAAACCCACCCTAGAAGTCAAAGAAAGCAGTTGTGCAATTTTTGGCTTTCCAGACACAACTCGGAAGCATAAATGACACCATGAATGAAAATCTCCAAGCAATCCAGGATGAGCTCTATGTTTCCATTGGTCCCTGCTGCTGCTCCTGCCCCACGCCAACAACATAAGTGACCTATCAGGCCAATAAAAGCTACTTTGGCGCCACGAGTGTCAAATTGGATTGAAAATGTTCTAGATTCCCAAATCATCAAGAAAGCATAGAGCTGAACAGCAACCCCACTTCTGCCAAGGAAAGCACCTACAATTAAGTCTAAGCTACTCTTTGTATTTCTATCCTGTTCTTATCTTTTAATGTTATTTGTGCAGTTAGCTGCCTTTTGGAGTGAGATAAACTATGCCCTCAAACCAGCTGAGTGTAAAAGCTAATAGCAATAGCACTTATACTACCACTTCATACTGCTTTACAGCCCTCTCTTAAGTGGTTTACAGAGTCAGCCTATTGCCCCCAACAATCTGGCTCCTCATTTTACCAACCTTGGAAAGGTGGAAGGCTCAGGATTGAACTCCTGGCAGTGGGCACAGTTAGCCTGCAATACTGCATTCTAACCACTGCGCCACCATGACTCTGGTGGAATCTGCACACACACACACCCCCCCCCCCCAATCACCAGATTTCTCACACTAGGACTTTTTTTTAAATCCTACAAAACTACTGATTTATTCTCATTCCATAGAACTGGAGCTACAAAACAAGGAAGAAACCAGAAAACACTCCAAGCTGGTAGGATGGGCGTTATTCACTGGTATCTATTTCTGAATCCAAGTTTTCTCCACCCATCTCCACCTTGAGAACCACCAAACCTCAAGATTATGATGTGCAGAATGGCTTTGTCTGCTGTTATTTTGGGATTGTGGCAGAATACTTAATATCTCAAAGAAAAACCATTATGTACGGAAATCTGGCTTTAGAATGGGGATAACTTTAGATGGAACTGCAAAAAAAATAAAAATCCAACACTCTTCCATCTATATTAAAATGATAATGTCTAGACCAGGGATGTTCACAGGCATGTTTAAGATTTGGGGACTTCAACTCCCAGAGTTACCCAGCCAGTTGTGAGATGAAGCCCACAAGTCTTAATAGCTGCCAAGGCACCAGGTCTTATGGTCAAGGATGGTGGTGGTGGAGAATATCGTCCACTGACTTATCATACTTCGCATAACTGCCAGTCTCCTTTTTGCTGTCAGAGGCCTTCGGGAACTTTTCTGCGGCTGGCAAGGCTTTCCCGAAGGCCTCTGCATCCGATAACAGAACTCCAGATCGATCCGGAGCGCTGTGATCGGCTGCAGAGGCCTTTGGAAAGTCTTGCCAGCTTCAGAAGAAATGTGCCAGCAAGGCAGGCATCGAGGTGTGCAAAGCCTGACTGCAACTGTCCGAAGGTAAGTAGAAGGGCAGCTCCCCCCCCCCGCAATCCCACTAGCTTAATTTTTACCCGTGCACCCTGGAGTAGGTGGGGGTCTTAATTAGGGCTTATTTTGGGTGTAGGGCTTATCTTGGGCACACATGTAAAAATCAAGCTAGGACTTACTTTTGGGGTAGGTGGCATTTTCGTGGAAACACAGTATGTAATTAACATGGGAGGAAGAGAAAAGGAATAGCTAAGGTGCCTATACTTACCCAGGGCCTATTATACTGCCGGAAATGCAATTGTTTGCCAAGTGATCAGGAGTAACTGTTGGGGATACAGGGGGAGGGGGCTCCTCGTCATTAACTCCGTCCATTTTTATCTTCTTGACAGGCACATTCCCGACAAAGGTGGAAACTCTCTTGACCCGGATGGCTGGGCGAGGGCCGGGCAATGACACCAAACCAGGAATACTAAGCACACCGGAATTCATGGCGACAGGCTGGAGAAGACACGTCTGCGGGAGGCCCAGGGAAGGCGTCACCAGAGCTGGGGTACTCAGTGCCAACTGCCCACCGCCAACTGCCTGAGATGTGGTGCCCACGACGTTCATCATGGGTACCATGCTAAGTACCGGGCCCCGGATTGTCCAGGTGGGCAAGGGGTTAGGAGCCAGGCCCAGAGGTGCCCGCAGAATGACCGTGCCCAGGTTGGGAGCAGCGGAGATCGGCGTGGGGTTTGGTTTGAAAGCCTGTTCCCCGTCTTGAGTGGCCAATGGGCTTTCCTCGCCTTGAACTTTCATGCACACCTGGGCCAGCTTGTTCACCAGAATGATTCTGGAATTGGGCTTTTGTGCCTCGGGTGCCAGCACTGTCGTCACTTCAGGGATGGGGGGCACTTGGGCGCAACCGAGGGTTAAGGTTGGAGCTGGATCCGGAGCAGGGCTGGGATGGGCTGGCTCAGTGCCATTGAGGCTGGCAGAGGTAGGCGGTGCCGGTGGCAGTGGCATTGGGCTGAGGCAAGTAGGGGGGCTGGCCTTGCTCTCAGGGGCATCCATATTCTTCAGCACAAAGTCCACAATGTCCGAGGGCAAGTCCTCTGGAGCTGGAGTGGGGCCGGCCAGCTCTCGCTCGACCCTTGGCTCGGGCTGCTTGCCCTTGGTGGAAGGGTGTCCTCCCGTCGCGTCCGCCTCACTGTCAGTGCCATCGTCTATGCCATCCAGCTGGTGGATATGGGGCAGCGGGAGATCCAGCGGGTAAGGCGGCAGAGGTGGGTCTCGGGTCACCACTGTACGCGGGAAGCGGAAGTAGCGGTCGGCCTCTCCTTCCTCCTCACTCTCGCCGTCGCCCAGCCCATCTAACTGGGGCAGGCCCAGGTTGGGTGAAGGGGGACATGTCCGTGGCCCTCCCAACTCTTCTTCCTGGAAAGGCTCATCCAGAAGGCTATCGTCAAATTCCAAGTCAGAGACATTGAGCTCAAAGGCCAACTCTGGCGGCACAGGGGGGGAAGAGGGTGGGGGTGAGGTAGCTACGGGCCGCTGCTCGTCACACCCGGCTGAGGTAGAAGGATGCCTGAAGCCATTCCCAGCCGTGGGGTAGTCTGGGAGGGGTGGCATTGCCCTGAGAGAGGTGCTGGGGGGGCTAGTCCTGCTAGCAGGGGCCTGGGGTGGGAGAGGGGACCGGCGGGGGCGAGGGTTGCTGCTAGGTGACATGGGGCTGAGGCGTTGTGTGCGGCGTGGAGGAGGGAAGTCAGGGTCACCCACAGTCAAGATATGATGGGACATGGATGATGCGCTTCCTGCAGAAAAGGGGAAGGAAAAAGAAAAAAAAGGAGGTGTTAAGAAGAGCAAACATGCATTGGCTGCTGGGATCTCTCCCGGTCAGGAATATGCTGTGGGTACAAACCCCCAACCTATCACCCCAGTTTTCAACTCTTCCCCCCACTGAAGTGGGGACATTTATAGTAGCATTTGCAAGGCGCCTGTGTGACACTGCTTAGAGTTAGAAAAGGGTCAACAGCAGAAGTGAAATCCAGCAGGTTCTGGAGAACTGGTAGCAGAAATTTTGAGTAGTTCGGAGAACCGGCAAATACCACCTCTGGCTGGCCCCAGAGTGGGGTGGGAATGGAGAGATTGCAATATCCTTCCCCTGCCACGCCCACCAAGCCACACCCACAGAACCGGTAGTAAAAAAAATTGAATTTCACCACTGCTCAACAGCAAAGGGTTGGAATTAGTTCTCTTACAGCTATGTAGGGATTCTAGGCTGATTCCCCTTTTCGCTCCACCTCCAGGTTCTGCCATCCCTTCTACAGTTGGAGATGGGTTGAGCCTAACGTTGTGTTTCACATGCAATCAACCCTGGATTGTAGTTTAACACAGCAGTTACCAACCGGTGATCCGTGAAGAAATTTTGATGGTCCACAGAAAAATTATTTGCATTTTTATAATGCACTAAACACTATTTATCCTTTTAAAAAACCATATTAGTAGTCTGCGGGATTTAAAATAATGAAATTAGTGATCCATGAGGTCCAAAAGGTTGGTGACCCCTGGTCTAATACAATAAAATAAATCCAAGTCACTGCCACCAGTAGCCTCCCACCGTCCAGTGCGATCCCACAGAGTTGGCCTCCTCAAGGTGCCGTTGGCCAGACAGTGTCGGCTAGCCACCCCCAGGGGGAGAGCCTTCTCTGTGGGAGCGCCTTCCCTCTGGAATGAGCTCCCCTCGGAGCTTCGTAT